CCCGCTCTTGCTAAAGCCGGCCCTGCCCCCCAGTACCCAGAGCCCAGACCCCCAGCCAGGGTCCCACCAGATATTCCCTGGGACCCAGCCCCCAGCATCCCAGTCCAGGGACCTCAGATACCCTTCAGAGGCTCACCAGCCAGGCTGGGAATCCCAAAGGGTTCCCCCCACCAAGAACCCCAGCAGCCAGGGACCCCCTACTGGGAACTCAGTCCCTCACTGCCTGCCTGGGATTCCCACACTGCCTGTTTAGGACCCCTGCCTACCCTCCAGCAGGATCTGCCATGCCATTTGCCTGGGACCCCCTGATGCTTTACTGTGGGACCCCTCACTCTGCTTGCCTGGCATCCCCTGACCTACTGCCAGGGATCCCCCCCCCCCCCCCACCGGGCACAGCAACGATCCCAGGAGCCAGTGTAGGAAGCTCAGACAGAGAGCTCCTGGCACAGCACCAGGCACCCTCTAACCCCCTGCCCCACCTCCCCAAGAGATGCTCACCCTCACTGTTCTGCAGCCAACAGGCCGCCGACAATACCTACCTCCAGGACCCATAGCCTCAGGGCTGGGCACATCACAACCACCCCCTAAGCTCCAAACCTCCAGAACCAACCAACCTGACTAGGGTACCCCCTGCCCAGTCACCCAGAGGCCTCCCCTACCACAATGCCCCTTCAGCTCCAGCTGCAATCTCCCCACACAACACCCATCCCTGCCCCAGGGACAGTGTTACCTCACAGTGTCTGAGAAGTGGATAGAAATTTATCACCGCCCCCTTCTGGCCAGTCACACAGGCAGAGGGAGCCCTGGGGGATGTTTTGTTAGCAGGAGAATGGAAGGCCTGGAGGGCCAAAATAGTTAAGAAATTTTCATGCTCTGTCACTAGCAAATAATGGCCACCATGAATCCACCCCAGAGGTGGCTACATCTTAGCACTGTGAGAAGCAACCCTACATAGAGACCATTTATCATGGGCTTTGGGATACTTCTCGACCCACGCTCCACTCAGAGTGACCTCCTGATCCTGTGCCAGCTGGAGAAAAGAAAAGGGTCCAGCCAACTCTCCTGTTACCAGCTGGGAACCACCGATCCCCCAAACATGGGGAGGCCTCTGGCTTTGATGTGTATTAAATATGTGGCTGGTCTCTTTCATCAGCAAACATTTTAACAGAGATTGAAGGAGGAAAGAAATGATTCTCAAAGCAGAGGGGAAAGATGCTCACTGGGCAATTTAACCCCCTGCAACATCCAGGATGGAGAAGGACTCAGGGCAACAGGTTCCCTCCAAGGAAGGAGAAGTTGCTGGGATTTAGAAACATGGGGAACAGCACCAAACCCAAGAGGATTTTTAATTGACATTTGATAGTGACATAGAAAGAGGGAAAAACCTGAAATTTGAGATCAATGTCCAGAAATGAAAGAAAAAGGGTGGAAATCTGAGGGATTTTGAACCAGTTTTTGCAAATTATAGAGAGGAAAGTGGAAAATCAGAGGGATTTTATACCAGTTGTTGATAGGAGGTAAAATCTGAGTGTATTTCACATCAATATTTGATAGATGAATAAAGTGGAAATAGGCAACATTTGCAAACATTTTATATCCATGTTCAAGAATCTGAGAAAAGGTGTAAATCTGAGATTTTCTTAGTATTTTAAAATTAGAAAGACAGGAAAAATCTCAGGGCATATTCAATTAGAAATAGACAACTAGAGAAAAGTGGGGCAAATGTTTAGGGTATTTTATATTAATCTTCGAGATTTGCAGAGAATACAGGTCACAAACTAGGGGGGTAGGGATAGCTCAGTGGTTTGAGCATTGGCCTGCTAAACCCAGGGTTGTGAGTTCAATCCTTGAGGGGGCCACTTAGGGATCTAGGGCAAAAATCAGTACTTGGTCCTGCTAGTGAAGGCAGGGGGCTGGACTCGATGACCTTTCAAGGTCCCTTCCAGTTCTAGGAGATGGGATATCTCCATTAATTTTAATTTTAAACTACGCAACTGATAACATGAGAGACAAACACCAAGATCAGAGGGGATTTTAAATTGCTATTAACTAAATAGTGGAAAAGGGGGACAGTTTGACTGGATTGTATACGACTGTCCAATACATAAACAGAAAGTGCTGGTTCACATGGACAGCAGGGAGCCCTTTGAGGAGCTGATTTAAGAGGGCAAGGGGGATCTGGATGAAAGAAGGGGGCAGCAGTGGGGGATGGGCAGGTAACTGGTGGCTGGGGGCAACTGTGTTGGTAGTTAGGGGGCAGCAAGTGGGATTGGGAAACCAGGGTCTGGGCGGTCTCCATGGGGGACAGTTGCTCCCCCCTTCCCTACCCTGGCAGAAAACGGGCATCTCATCCCATCCTCACTCCAGGGGCAGCCATGTTTTGAGGAATGACTCAGGGCAACAATTTCCCACATAAACAAGGACAAATCGCTGCAGATAAAATGGGTGGGGAAACCCCCCACATTGGAGATTTTAAATTGACATCTGAGAAATATGGAGAGAACAGGGGAAAATCAGGAGAGACTAGAGCAGGGGTAGGCAACCTATGGCACGCGTGCCAAAAGCGGCAAGTAAGCTGATTTTCAGTGGCACTCACACTGCCCGTGTCCTGGCCACTGGTCCGGGGGCTCTGCATTTTAATTTAATTTTAAATGAAGCTTCT